GAAGATTGAAAAAGTTTTGAGAATGTCAAAAGTATGAAACAATTGCTTGGCTTGTCATCGGGGTTGTGCATGATTTAAATACTTTGTGTGGTGAAGATAGAAAATAGCCATACTATATGATTTTTGTAGGGATAACTTTCTTTAGCCATGTTATTTTGAGAGGACATAATTGCTTAGTTAGTATGCTTGAAGTATTATTATTTTTATGTCAATATGAACTTTTGTCTTGAATCTTTTGGATCTGAATATTCATACCACAATTAAGAAGAATTACATTAAAATTATGCCAAGTAGCACTCCGCATCAAAAGTTCTATTTTTATCATTTACCTACTCGAGGACGAGCAGGAATTAAGCTTGGGGATGCTTGATACATCTCCAATGTATCTATAATTTTTGATTGCTCCATGCTATATTATCTACTGTTTTGGACATTATTGGGATTTATTATCCACTTTTATATTATTTTTGGGACTAACCTATTAACCGGAGGCCCAGCCCAGAATTGCTATTTTTTTTGCCTATTTTAGGGTTTCGAAGAAAAGGAATATCAAACGGAGTCTAAACGGAATGAAACCTTCAGGAACGTGATTTTCTCAACGAACAAGACCCAGGAGACTTGGACCCTACGTCAAGACACAAAAGAGGAGGCCACGAGGTAGGGGGGCGCGCCTACCCCCAGGAGCGCCCTCCACCCTCGTGGGCCCCCTGTTGCTCCACCAACGTACTCCTTCCTTCTATATATACCTACGTATCCCCAAACGATCAGATACGGAGAAAAAACCCTAACACCGCAGCAACTTTTTGTATCCACAAGATCCCATCTTGGGGCCTGTGCCGGAGCTCCGCCGGATGGGGTATCGATCACGGAGGGCTTCTACATCAACACCATAGCCCCTCCGATGAAGTGTGGGTAGTTTACTTCAGACCTCCGGGTCCATAGTTAGTAGCTAGATGGCTTCTTCTCTTTTTTTGGATCTCAATACAATGTTCTCCCCCTCTCTTGTGGAGATCTATTCGATGTAATCTTGTTTTTGCGGTGTGTTTGTTGAGATCGATGAATTATGGGTTTATGATCAAGTCTATCTATGAATAATATTTGAATCTTCTCTGAATTCTTTTATGTATGATTGGTTATCTTTGCAAGTCTCTTCGAATTATCAGTTTGGTTTGGCCTACTAGATTGATCTTTCTTGCAATGGGAGAAGTGCTTAGCTTTGGGTTCAATCTTGCGGTGTCCTTTCCCAGTGACAGTAGGGGTAGCAAGGCACGTATTGTATTGTTGCCATCAAGGATAACAAGATGGGTTTTCATCATATTGCATGAGTTTATCCCTCTACATCATGTCATCTTGCTTAAGGCGTTACTCTGTTTTTATTAACTTAATACACTAGATGCATGCTGGATAGCGGTCGATGAGTGGAGTAATAGTAGTAAATGCAGGAAGGAGTCGGTCTACTTGTCTCGGACGTGATGCCTATATACATCATCATACCTAGATATTCTCATAACTATGCTCAATTCTGTCAATTGCTCAACAGTAATTTGTTCACCCACCGTAGAATACTTATGCTCTCGAGAGAAGCCACTAGTGAAACCTATGGCACCCGGGTCTATCTTCATCATATTAATCTACCAATACTTAGTTATTTCCTTTTGTTATTTACTTTGCTTTTATTTTACTTTGCATCTTTATCATAAAAATACCAAAAATCTTATCTTATCATATCTATCAGATCTCACTCTCGTAGGTGGCCGTGTAGGGATTGACAACCCCTATTCGCGTTGGTTGCGAGGATTTATTTGTATTGTGCAGGTACAAGGGACTCACGCGTAGCCTCCTACTGGATTGATACCTTGGTTCTCAAAAACTGAGGGAATTGCTTACGCTACTTTGCCGCATCATCCCTTCCTCTTCGGGGAAAACCAACGCAGTGTTCAAGAGGTAGCAGGATGCTCGGGTCTCCTTAGACCACAATGGAGGAGCAGCATCAGCCATTTGCCGGGACAGAAAGGGTACATACTTGGGCTAGTCTATACAAGTCGCTGAGGGACATGTTTCGTCTACAATACTTGAAGCCATAGCATGCAGAGAAGCTTTAGCATTGGTAGAGGATCTTTGTATGCAGCACCTCTACATTGCATCAGATTGTAAGGAGGCCATAATATATTTGCGATGGTTTTGGAGGAGCGGATGGAGTGGTAATTAATTAGAGAAATAAAATGTAAATGTGAATCCAATTGATTGTGCTGGCTTTGTTTTTGTCCCTACACCTGGTTCTAGATGGGTCGAAATGTTAATCTTGAAATGCTTGCATTCAAGTTGTGCTCTAAAATACTTACTTTTTTATAGAAAATATATTCTCTATAATATCTTGCTAAGAAGAACACACTAAAGACATGTAGATCATAACATTGTTGTTGTAGGTGTTCTCAACAAAGGAGTGAGCTGCTTTCTTCCTAAGTCATTTTGTCTTCTTTAAAATTACACAAAATACTTGTCATTTTTGTTGATTAAGAATATAGTTGCCTAGTTAGTTAGCGAAAAAGGTGCAAATACTGCTACAACCCGCTGATTTGGCACAAAAAGCATCACGCATCACTGCAATGAAAAATCTTTGAGGTTGCTTGTTGGCGTCATCATCATCACTTTTTCCTGAGCAAGCAACTCATGCTTCATTGCAAGCAACCGCCGACAAAGCCACTACAAAGGCAATGAGAAGCCACAAGAATATCCGAGGGAAGTGAACAACCACATGCCAGAAACAAGGGTGGCTTCGGATCTAAGAACAATCCATGACGAAGAACTATTCAACGCTGGCACCACGAAGGATCACCGAGCTAGGCTGCCCGATGTCTATCATTGTTGCCACATGGACCTTGCCGCCGCGCAACTCCTCCACCGCATCAAGATGACCACAATAGTATTGCTGCAAGTCTATAATAAGATGACATATGTGCCTTCCTCAAGGTTGTATGAATTCAACTCATGGCATGAGTTCATTGTGGTTGGGATACTTCCCGTTGATGTAGCATGTTCGGTGACCATTGATCTCGTCATGCCCAATTAATGGAATACGCGGTGCTTCACCTAAATGAAATATTCATTTGCATTGATGAATATTGTTACCTTGTTAGAATGGGGATGCATATGTTACCCCCACACATTTATTAACACGGTACATACACAGTTACTCCCACGAATTGGAGTACTTCGATGCATGACTCACCAAAATATTGCTATAAATTGTGGACTAAAAATTTGGAGCTCAACTCAATATGTAGAAAAAGAAATGCAAATTCATTTTCTTCTTCTTTTGAACAAGGTGCAAGTATACACTCATCATTGTGGATGTATGAGCACATTCGAAATATTAAGTCGACACAACGTGCTGAGATTGACGAAATCGCAACGGACATCTCGTTGTCGACGGTAACATCTTCTCCCACTAAACAAACTCACCGGAAAGCCTAAAACAAATTCAGGGAAATGCGAGCACCAATGCTAAGTCTATAGCTTAGAACCCTAGTGGGTTATGTCCACCACAAGGAACCTAACCATCTCTCAGTTTGCAACGCAAATTTAAAATTGGTAGTGTTAAATAGACCGAATTCACATTAATGTCTAACCAGACATATTCACTATTCATAGCTAGATTTGTAGTTTCTTTATATATGGTGTTTCAAATTCAGATATGAATTCTATGACATGATTCATACACATTGTATCAGCATCATCATTTCCCCCCCTTAAATTTACTAGTAGAATGCCCTGCGTTGCTATGACTGCGTCCACGAACACCTGTATGTGGCGGTCCAACGACCCGCCTGCCGCCACGGAGGTGGGAGCATGCAAGGAAGAAAAAACTAGCATAGAGGGGTGGTGGTGGGAGGTGAAGGCGAAAATAAACTGTGTGTACCGGCCTACCAACTCCCCTTAATAGTAGAGATATATGTGATTTGGTAAGATAAAAAATGTTATTTTTATTATATTTCGAAAGTTGTGGTTGTCATTTGAATAGTAGAGATAATGATAATAATAAATGGCAACACATTGAGGAATATCTGATTTTGTTTTGCAAGGTTATTGAAAAAAATCTTGTCTGTTTTTTAAGAAGGTGATCTCACATTTATGATACGATTTCTAAATTGAATCAACACCTATCAAAACAAGCACGAAACAAGATCTCCCTCTTTAATGGGGAGAAGAAAATCATGTGAGGGGGTGGTGTGAGGTGAGGCGAAAATAAACTAATGGGAGGGGGTGGTGGGAGTGGAGGCAAAAATAAACCGATGAGGAGAGACTACAACTCCCTTTTAGGAATAGAGATGTAACTTTTAGGTGAAATTGTTGTGTCGCAAATTTAGGAGTATCGGGGGTCGAGCACATGTTGCCTCTCTCAAAATGCGAGCGGATGCGTTCATCCTGGTCGTATCCTGGTCGTCCGTGTGGAAGCATCAATCGATCGACGATCTCATGTATAGCTGGCCAGATGGGCCGTGGACCACGTGTCGGCTGTGAGCACGCATGCTCATAAACGGGTTGTACCGACATGCAACATACTTTTTTTTTTGAGAAATGCACGCAACATACCTTGGACCATGTTGGGCTGCGGGGCCAGGCCTGTGTGCCAGCACGACACGACCTGTTAATTGTTTTTTATTTTTTTATTTTTTACAGCCCAATAGTCTGACTAGGCCCAAAACAGCCCAATAGATTTAATAATACGCGGGCCAGCGGGCCAAATATGTCACCTGCCCGGCCCATTTAATATAGGGGCCTTGTCTGGGCCTAAGGGCACGCGGGCCATCATGGCACGGCCCATATAGTATATGTGCCGTGCAGGCATGTTTAGCCCAGGTCGGCCCATCTGGCCAGGTTTGATTCTCAATTTCTCATGCTTTGCAGCCTCACAGGAGGCTTGATCTTCTTCCCGTTCGCGTCTCGGTTCAGGGATCAGAACCCTCAACCAAAACCTGAAACAAGCACCCCACGCAGCAATGGCCTCTAGAACGCTATCCTTCTCCTCGCTGGCCTCCGCCTTCGCCCCCTTCCCGGCGCGCTCCAGACCCCGGCACCCTCCCCTCCGCCTCCTCGGCCTCCACCTCACCTCCGGGCATCTCCTCCGCGCCTCCACCCTCTCCACCGCCGCTGCCCCCGCCCCTGATGCGGACGCGGACGCGGACGCCGACCCCTACGAGGGCGTCGACACCGTCGAGCATCTCCTCGCCCCAAAGCCCACCTCCCCGGGCGGCGGTCGGATGGGCCGGCTCATGAAGATGCAGCGCCGCGCCGACGCCGACGGCCCGGCGGCGGGGCGGGGCAGGTGGTTCCCTTACCTGGACGCGTTCCGGGGAGCGGGGGGCGTGGAGGTGACCAGCCAGGAGGTGGTGGACGTGCTGGAGCCGTACATCCTCGAGCCGCGGCGGGACCGGATCCGCCGCGCCGTCCAGAGCAGGAGCTACGCCGTCTGCCTGGTCGTCGAGGGCCTCACCGACTTTGGGAACGTCTCCGCGGCGTTCCGCTCCGCCGACGCGCTCGGCGTGCAGTCCGTGCACGTCATCTCCTGCGAGGACAACAAAAGGTGCTGAGGTGAAAAGGAACCCAAAATGCTAGTATCTCGGTATTTACTTGACGATTACTTGCCAAATCAGCTGAAATATTGTGAGTCTATGACTCTAACTGATCTAAACTTCGGCACTATTTTGGGATTGAATGGGTTAGGCTCAATCCTCATGAAATGCTTTCCAGAGTGTATTTTGCGGTTAATTTGCTCCTTTACTCTCCAATCAGTAGTTTATGTGAGATGGTATTCTTGTGTGGACTTATTTGAGGAGAAAAATAGTCGACACTTAGTTTTTGGATTGTGCACTTTATTTTGTTTGTTTCATTAGAAGATTAGCTTGAACCACACAAATTTCTGGGAAAACAGTCAGAAAGATATGGTTTCCGTCGCACTGTATAATTGTTGAAAAATAATCCCACACGAAGACAATGGCCAGCCATGTTTATGGTTGCCAATTGGCAACTGGAGTAGTACTTCTACTCCTTAGCTGTTAACTCGGATGAACGTGAAGAATTCCACTGAAGAATAAATATCTTGTACCACTTAATATTAGTTTCTAGCATGTTACATTGATTTGGTGTACCGATAATTTTTTCGAGGCTATGCATCAAGAACTCCACATAATTATGTATTCATTATCTGTATCAATTCATAGGTTTCACATCCTTTAACACAATATATGTTAGTTTATTAGTATAAATGAATAGAAGTTAGTTATAAATCAATAGAAGTTAGTATATTGTCAATGAAGATGCCTCTTGACTATTGCAGGTATAGAGACAACAGGCACGTGAGCATGGGTGCCGAGAAATGGCTTGACATCGAGCTATGGAGCTCACCTGCAGAATGTTTTGATGCTTTGAAAAAGCGTGGTTATCGCATTGCATGTACTAGTTTGGGAAGTGATTCGGTAGTCTCTTGCTCTCGCTCATTTGATCTTACAGTATGGATATACTTTAGGAAATCTATAAACACAGACTTTGCGGTTTCCATCTCAGTTAATGCATTGTGATTTGTTGTTTGCTGTCACAAAGTGTTTTGGTTTGCAAAGGGAAACAAGAAAATTTTGCAGCTAGTTAAATAGAGGAGACGCGTTTGTTCTAGATATATGGTAAATGCCTTGAATTTGTAGTATGTCTGTGGTGCATGGTCCAACCATCCATACAGAAAAATTGTTGACAGTCGATTGCCGAATGATTGTGAATTTGCGATAATCATCTATTTGCACACATAATATAAATTGTAATAGATTACTGGTGAATATTAAAATTAAAATTGAGGGTCTATTTTACTGTCTCACCTAAACATTCTAGAAGACATCAGTGACTTCTGCCTATAGTAGGTTTGTGAAATAAAAATATGTGATATTACATTGCCCATATTCTTAATAACTTTTCCTTATTTCTTTATTTATTATGATTCATCAGGATTGCGCTTCTCATCAAAAGATGTTTTTATGATGCTCTGAATAGTTGAAAGTTGAAATGTGTGAGGAAATAATTATATTCTTGATGGATTTGTAGGTTTCTGTGTATGACATGGATTGGTCTCATCCAACGGCTATCGTTGTGGGCAATGAGACTATGTAGGTTCTCTCCCTTCTCTCCAGCTATGCATCTTTTGCCACAGTTATGCTGTAATAAGTTTCCTGTTCCTGCATTCGTGCTTTCTACTTGCTTTCTAATGTATCTGCATGGAACCTGTTTACTAATGCAAGAAATATTTGTAATCTTAGATCTATTTACAGCTTTCTGGTGAGGTATTTGAATATCTCCTGTTGCAAGAGGATTTGCACATGTTCCTTGGCGAATAGAGTAGCTGTAACACAGCAACTAAATGAAGTATACTATTTTGGCATGTGTTATACAGATAGATTATTTTTGTTGCTCTTGGGTTATAAACTAGAATATCCATAGCTGTTATCATGTAAAGAATACCGTGGGTTAATGCTTTGAAAAGTTTACGCATGAGTTTAGGCATTTTTTTAGCAAAGTCTTTGCAAGGCTATCGGTACGTTGATGTTTCATTGTACAGTTAAGGGTGGATATTAAGTAATTATTCTGTGACAGGGGTATTAGCGACGTCGCTCTGAAGTTGTCGGACATGCACTGTAGTGTTCCAATGAAAGGCATGGTGGATTCTTTTAATGTATCTGTTGCAGCTGGAATCCTTATGCACCATGCTGTTTATGATAGAGTTTCTCGCCTTGTAAGTACATTTTTTTCCATTGTGAAGACTTCTTAAGTTGAAATAAGACTTGATACGGCCAAACATTAAATTTCCGCCTGCCATCGTTAAGGCTGCTTCAGAATTACAATCACCTTCTAACGAGAAAGCACCCGCCACCACCTATTTTGATTCCAACTTTTACATTTGATGGATTCTTATGACGATTATAGTATACATCGCCATTTGCGCATCAATAAGAACATGTTTGACTCATCTTAAGTTTGTTTCGGTCACCATCATTAACTTAAACTAGGACCATACTGTTAGTTATTTTTTAGTTGTATATAGTCCTAAATTTGATTCACTCATTTGAGATAATTGGAGGTAGCAGAGGCTGTAGTGCAGTCTCTAGAGTTAATTAGATCCACCTGATGGTTTATGCATCTCATCTCGTATACCAGCTTAATGGGTTTATAGATTATAAACTGGATAAGCTGGCTTCTTAGCAGGCTTGTGAGTAAGCCACGTACCTCTAGCTAGACATAGCAAGTCTCAAGTGTTGCTACTAAATTTATTAGCACAAAGCATGACCACCAAATTCAGTTTGTACTTATGGTTTGACCTAAACTCCAAACTCACCTACAAACATGTAACAACCTTTTCAATCTAGATGATTGACGGTGTGTATCAGAGTGATTTGAATTGTCACGGGCGCCATTAAGTTTCAGCTCATTAATAAACTTAAAAGATTGTATGACCATCTTCTGCGTTGAAAAATACAGAAATTGCATTTGTGCTTTCATGCATTTATTTTCTCTGACCATGCTGCTTAGTTACCTTCAAGTAAGGGAATTGATGACCACACAACTGCTTGTAAGCCCTTTGTAAATTTGCAGCATCTTATCTCCAGTTTCAATTACAGGGTCAGAATGGCGATCTCACGTCTGAAGAAAATAGAATATTGCTGGCAGAGTTCTATCTGCGTCATCGAGAGAGCACAGCTACGGTCATTCATGAATATGCCAAAAGGAAGGCAAATAATTTGGTGGCCAAACTTTGAGATCGCAGTGTCTGCTGAAGAAACATGTGCAAGCTAGTTTGTTAAGCAGTGTTTTGTTTGGCAGTTGGCTAATTCAGTATTATGAATTTATGATCAACTTTAGACTAACTGGTAAGTTGTTTCATTTGCCTTTTGATTTGCTTTTTTTGTTTGAACCATATGGTCATATCATCACTATTATCAAATATTAAAAGGTTCTTGTACATACTTATGCAATTTCCCCCCATAACTCAATAGAAAATTTACCGCGGGAGCCTCTCCTGCTTTTCCGGGTTATTTTAAAAAAAAGTTTCTAAAAGAAACAAATGGTAAAAGGTGGCAACATGCAATTTGTTGGTCGCTGCAGTACCCTTCCTGTATACTCCCTCCATTCACAAATATAAGATGTTCTAACTTTTTTCTGAATCGGATGTATATAGACACGTTTTAGTGTGTTTGTTCACTTATTTCAGTCCGTATGTAGTCCATATTGAAATATCCAAAACATCTTATATTTATGAACGAAGGGAGTACTGACTAGCATGGTCCACTCACGTATAGGCTATAGCCTTACTCTATAACTAGAACGTGATTTCCTTGTAATGGTTGACTTTTATCGACATCCGTTATCTACACATCCATATATATTGTCATCCACTTGATGCAGCATGTGTTCTTTAAATCTCTCTTACCCCCTTTATACCACATTTGTAGGCGTTCATCCTGCTAATGAAGGTTATTTCTGAAAAAGGAATGATCATACTGCTCGGGAATTAGGGTGCTGCGATATGCTGATTCCAAACAGAATCCAGGGACAGGATTTGGTGTCTTTGGTGATGCAACCTATTGCACAAACCTAAAGCATTACTATGTACTCTATGTGATTTGGCTTGCCAACTTCTTTTGAGTCACAGCAGTGGCGGAGCCATGATCATAGATGAGGGGGCCCAAATGGCTCAAACTTTTGATAACAGAGGCCAAATCACACTAATACATGTTTTTCCCTTAAATCTGAGAGATTGAAACATTAAACAAGCATATACTCCCTCCGTAACTTAATATAAGATGATTTTTGACACTAGTATATACACAGGTATAGGATTCATGGGGGGAGCCATGGCTCCTGTCAGTCCCCACTGTCTCTGCCATTGAGCGCACAGTAATTCACTGGTACTACAAAGTTTGGGGTGTTTTCTTTTGGATTTTTTTATATAAATGGTCTGATGTACTCCCTAGTTAGTTAAACGCGATTATTTGGATAGGTTTACATTAAGTACTCCTTTGTCTTGAAGGTGTAGCCATTTTGATAGGTTTCCGTGTAGTTCATGAAAATATCACCTTACATGTCATGGTGAATTTATTTTTTTACCCCCTGTTTATGAAATTGGGAAATGTTTACTGCATTTAAAACTTTCTGTCATATTTTACCCCCAAGTTGTTACAATGTGTCATATTTTACACAATTTAACAGTTCCCTTGATTTTCTAAGCAGACCTGTCAGGCCGACATAGCTGGCGCCAACTTAAAAAGTGTAAACCAGTTGGGTATTTTCCCGCCACGGCCAAAATAACTGTCAAAATGACCCATGTTGAAAACTAATCCCTTCTATACAACTCCAAAGTCCAATGTGTTGCTGCTTCATTGTCCAATGCTATTATGCTAATGTCTTTGGTGTTGTTTTCATGTGCAACGCCACGGTCCCTGGCGTTGCTCGGCACTGCACAACTAGTTGTTGGTGTCGGCCAAGGTAGCAACGCTACGACCCATGATGTTACGGTGTGGTAGAAGGTAGCAACGCCATGAACCATGGTGTTACGTATTGTGACGGCAATGCCAACTCGTTGGTGTTGCTAAAAGGGGTTAGATCGTGTTAAAGTTTCCAATAGAGGTCATCTCATGCTGAACTTTCCAAAAAGGGTTAAAACAGTGATTTTGACCGCATAGTGCATGCTTTTAGAAGAGCAAATTCCCAATATGATATCGACAATGCCTTTTATTTTCTTTGGCCCTCAAGGAGCTGCTCATGAATCAGCGCAGCACAAGGCCAAGGCCACACGGGACAAACAACGCAATATGTTGGTAGCGCCTACAGCTATATATCATGGAAGGTGTGAAGGAGCTTATTAGGGAAGAACGGAGCTGAAGCTGGTAAAGATTAGTCATACTCAAAAAATAGGTTGCAGATTTCTTAGCTATACATTCGAGGAGGGAGCATTCAACCGACTTGTGGTTGCAGAATTGTAACACTATTAACTGATCAATAAAGTTCCCGATCTTTCACCCGCAAAAAAAAAGAGTTCCCGATCTTTGCAACAACAACAAAAAGGGCCAGGGCCACACGGGACGGCCTCTATGCTGATAAAGAAATGCTCACGTGAATCATGTAATTCCATTATAGCTTGGTGACTGAACACAACACCGTCTACTTAACACAGATTGTTTTTGTGTTTAGTACAAAAAAAGAATGCCATACCCACAAAATATAGAAAGCCGGATCATGGGCAGCCATATAACGATATTACAACATCTCTAGGCCAGCACAAGATTCATCGAAGGGAAATAAACTTCTGGTTTCATGGGTGCATCGTGATGATGATGGTATTCACTTGGCCATCCATCTCATCAGAGAGATATGGCATAACATCAGGTTCAGAAACATCAGTGACACAGGGCCCCACTCACAAGAGCAGGTAAACACACCACCAACCAGACCAACACACAAGCCCAATATAACCAAACACACAGCAAACCCACACATACCGCTCACTCCAAACAACAGCAATGGACAGCATGAGAGGCCCTGAGGGGCACCCCTGATAGCCCACCATTCAGTCATGCACCCAAGCAAGCAAAAAGAGTACCTGCGCTTTCTGTCCGCAGCAAACACTTGTCGGTTTTTACCCTAGATAACAGAGTGCAGCCCAAGGGCGGCATCAAGTACAGTAACATATTATTTGGACATTATTGTTTCGCGAAAAGGTAAAAATAAACAAACATAACTGCTAGCCCTGGAAGTCTTGAACAAGAAACACGTCGAGGATCAGTTCCCTAGCTAATTTCCGTCCAAAGTCGTCGGCACATACTACTAAACAGGTCACCGGATGGATACACATAGGTGGGGGCAATGACACAGGCAGCAGAAAACCCTTGCTGGCAGCAAACCCTTGGCTTGGCGTTTCCACCACGACGGAGCAGCTGCAACACCCTGCAGCAGAAAAACAAACGGTCGTAAAATCACGTGAAAAAACAAGGAGAAACAGGTATCATCATGCGGAAAATGATTTCTAGAGGACGCTTACTTCATTCAGAGCAATGCCGACCTCGAAAGATCGACAATGCATATGTACATGGCGCACAGCGGCCAACCTGCTTTCACCTTTTGTACAAGACCTTGATATCCTGCCGCATCGCTTTGTTGTCCAGCAGCTCGTCTTCACAGTCATCGATATCGACTTTGTTCAGCCGGAAGTCGTCCGACGTGCAGTGCTGCTCACTCCATTCAAACCACAGCTTCGGTATGACTTCTTTCTTGAATGCGGTTTGATGGAAGCTTTCCTCTTGAGAGTCGGCGGCCACGAGCCTGTACACGAACACTTTCTTCTGCTGCCCAGGCCTGAAAGCCCGCCCGATTGCTTGACGAGTAACAGAGGGGTTCAAGTGAACATCTAGAATGACAACTCTTGATGCGCCCACGAGGGAGATGCCCTCCCCGCACGCCCTGATAGAGCCAAACAGAACTTTTGCATCAGCAGAGTTGTTAAACTGGTCCATGGCCAGTTCTCTCTCTTCTTGACTAGTATCGCCATTGATCACAAAGATCTCCTTCCCTACATTCCAGCCCCTTGTCTTCACCAATAGCCTCTCCAAAAATTTCATGGGTAGTATGTACTGACCAAAAGCAAGCACCTTCTCTCCTGCAGAATTCGCAAGCGCCAGGATGTTAGTGAAAAACCTGGCCTTCACACCATCTGTCACGTTGATAGACTCGACCAAACTATCAATGCTTGCATCTGTCAGGTTGATAGCCCTATCTGCAGCGTCAACTTCTGACATTCCTGATAGACAAGGATGCATGTACACTGCAGTTCCTACGGCGCTTCGTTTGAACTTCTCATAGGATTCCAACTTATGAACGATTTCTTTCTGCTTGGGACTGAGTTTCAAGAAGACGCTGAAGTCTAATAGGCCAGGTAGTTCATCTAAGATGTCACCCTTGTAGTAATGAAGCACATCTTTTGTTAGTTCTCTGAGACTTCTAATGACATGTGCTTTTCTCGTGAAGTTATCATCATGCAGCAGGGTCTCTTCTATTGACTCAGTGAATGCATTATCAGCAGCCCCTTTTGAAATTCTGCCACCTGATATTGCTACTTGACTCATTATACGTTTAACAATAGGACGAGATGAGTCCGACTTGAGAAACTTTGGGCGCACAAGGTTCAAGATGTTGAACACTTCACTGACATGATTCTGGAAAAGTGTACCAGATAGGACCACCTTACGTGGAGTTAGGACTCTGCTCAATGATTCTAGCACATCAGTCTCCCGATTCCTAGGTGTATGGCCCTCATCCATTATAAGTAGGCTAGGGACCTTAAGCAACACGTCCCGGCACGCAGCTGCGACGTTGCCACCACCATCACTGCAAACGATCTGAGAAAACTGCTTGTATCCAAGAAATAGGATGCTCAGTTTGGCTTGCCAAGATTTGAGGATTTCCAACTGCTCTGCTCTCTTCTCAGCCTTGACAGAATAAAAGTCATACAGTGGTATATCCTCCACTTGCCACCGTTGAAACTCCCTCTTCCATGTACCTAATATGCCTTTAGGAAGTATAACAAGGGGCCTTGAACAGGGGTACTTTGCCAAGAAGCTCTGAATGAAACTAATCAGCATAAATGTTTTCCCCGAACCAGGGGCATGAGCTAGAATGCAACCTCCTGGTTTTTCAGAGACTAGATTCTTCACCAGAAAGTGGAAACCTGCCAATTGATGTGCTCTCATTTGCTTTGCATGTCTTG